CAGTTCAGCCGGTGGGGATTCCACACCGATCACCCTGCTCTGCACACCACCCCGCTTCCAGTCAAAATAGCGGATCTGGATGGGGAAGGGGGTCCCCACCTCGCCCGCACCCAGAGCCACCCCACAATAGGGGACACCATCGAGCGGGTCCATCCCATGGTCCAACGCGAAGGGGGCCAGCGCCTCATCCAGCCTCACCTCCGTCTTGATTTGCAAGCCCAAGACGTCTAAGACGGGGTCAGGTGTTTTGGGCAAGCCAGCCAGGGGCTCACAGCAGTCCTCAAGCACGGCAGCAGGGAAGCCCAAAGGGGTTTCGGCAGCGGCGGCAGCATCGAAGGGCTGGCAGTTGGCAGGGAGGAAGCAGCCCGGCAGCTTGGCCACCGAGGCATCCCCCAGCATGTTCCTCTTGTGTTTCATGGACTGCACGTGGGCCTCCAGGTCGAGAGAGCCCTTGTTGGCCACAGAGACGTAGGTGCCCTCCTGGCAGACCAAGCATTCGGCCTCCCATCTCTCCCGGCCCACGCGGAAGCAGGGGTACTTTGCCTGGAGCTCGTCGGTGAATTTGCATTTCCGTTTCGGCATGGTACAGGGCAGATGGGGCTCGGCCTATGGGGGAAAACAGAGGGGAGGGGAAATTTGAACAATTTTTATGCCGTGCCAAAGATGCAGATCTCCCACAGGAGCTCCTCTCCTGTCTTCTAATTGTTGCCCAGGTGGGGATTCTCAAATGCCCAGCAGCACCGCAAATGCACCTCAGATCCTGAAAAATCCCGAACATAAGAGGCTGTCCTGCAAGAGCTGTCCCTGAACAGACACGGGGTGCGGGAAGCTGGGGTGAAATAGGGAGCGCAGCACAGTGTTTGCAACATTCCCCCTGAAATGGGGAGCATGGCTCAGAGCTCATAATATTGCCTCCCAAATGAGGAGCAAGGCTCAGTGGTCATGATATTTCCCACGAAAATGGGGAGCACAGCTCAGTGGTCATGCTATTCCCCCCCCAAAATGGGGATCACGGTTCAGAGCTCACGATATTCCTCCCCAAATGGGCAGCATGGTTCAGAGCTCGCAATATTCTCCCCAAAATGGGGAGCACAGCAACATTCCCCTCAAAACGGAGCACGGCTCAGCGCTCAGGATAAAAGAAGAAAAGGGGGGGGGGGAAGAATGAAAATAGTGCGAAAAGAAGGAAAGAA